GGGTCCGGGCTGGGGATTCGAACCCGCCACCTTAGGTGTACGTGGCTGGCGCCTTAGCCGGTTGAGCTATAGGCGCCGAGCCGGATCAGACAGTTTTAAGAGAAAGACTCTGAGCACCCTTTCTTAACTTCTCCCACAAAGGTCTGGTGAGAAAAAAAACCCAATTTTAAAGCAAGAGAGACTAAGGTTAGATGCTGGGAAGAACTGCCAGCCTTGTCCATGATACAACCCAGGCAGGGACATGAAGCCCGACATGGGGGCTCTCACCCATGGATTCTGTTTTTGAACCTCAGGACTTCATGTGAAAATCTCTGGGTTCTACCTGAATTCTAAGAATACTTGGCAGAATTCTAAGCCCAGCTTCTCAGGCTGTATCAGTCTACACAGATCCCGTGGACAGACACAGGAGGCTGGGCCTCTGGCTCCCAGCACCTGGGGTCAGGAGGAAGGGTAAGCTGCCCTTTGCCTTAATTGGGCAGAGTTCCTGCCTTGAGCAAACACAAAGCAGGGTTGAAGGGCAGAAGGAAAACAAGTCAAATAAAAAAAATATATATCCTTGTTCAGTAAATGGCTGCCAGACTAGGGGACAAAGAGGTCACCAAGATGTCAGAACCAGGGAGGAGCAGGATGGGGGTGGGTCCTGGGAAAGAGAGGGCCTGGACAAAGTGTTAAAATGGGCCCAATTGGGGGCATCCCTGGCCTCTTCATCTCACTATAGCAACCAGGAGGACACTGATCATAATTGGATTCTTCTAGCCTAGGGCCAGACCACAGCCCATGGGACCAAGGGATCGTTGGTAATGAGGTTAGCAGGCACCAGACCCCACCCCCTGAGGCTCCCAGAACCCTGAGCAAGGGAAAGGAAAAAAGGCAAGGTTGTTTGTTCACCCCTGCACGAACCATGGAGTGGCTGCCCTTCTCCACCAGGTACTCACCTTCTTTCCGCATGCCCACTCGGAAGCACTTCTTGAGGCGACAATACTGGCACTGATTCCGGTGATGCTGGTCAATCTGGCAGTCACGGTTGGACCTGGGGGCATGTAGAGGCCAGGGCAACCTGTGACACCCACATCTTCCTCCCAACCACCCTATGAGCTGCCTATAGTGGTTGCCCCTGAAAAACACCAGTGGGGTCCCCTGGACTGAGTAGATGGGCCTCAGTGGGTACAAGGGCTCAGCTTACAAATCTGTAAAGAGGAAAAGACAATGGGGTGGGTGATGGCAAATGAACAAGGAGTCTGTGGAAAAGTTTGGACCCCTTATGCCCAGAGAGGGCACTTTGGAACTGGGTTTTGAAGGATGAATAAGAGTTCCCTAGGCAAATGCAGAGGTGATTCCAGGCAGAGAAGGTACAGTAAAAACAAAAGGTTTAAAATATGAAAATATAGGGTGGCACCTCGGGCTCAGTGACTAGGGCACTGGCCCCATATACCAAGGGTATATGTTCAAAACAGGCCCCAACCAAACTGCAACAAAAAAATAGCTGGGTGTTGTAGCAGGCACCTGTAGTCCTAGCTACTCAGGAGGCTGAAGCAAGAGAGTCACCTAAGCCCAGGAGTTGGGAGGTTGCTGTGAGCTGTGATGCCATAGCACTCTACCAAGGGTGACACAATGAGACTCCATCGCTAAAAAAAAAAAAAATGAAGGGCGGCGCCTGTGGCTCAGGGAGTAGGGCACTGGGCCCATATACCGGGGATAGGGGGTTCAAGCCCGGCCCCAGCCAAATAAAAAGAAAAGAAAAATAGAAACCTGAACAATTTCACTATATCTGGTTGTGTCTGGCTGAGGCAAGGTCACTGTCCCAAGGATAATGTGGAAGCAGATGGGAACATGGTCAGTGAACTGAGCTTTGTGAACTAACTTTCGGCCAGGTCAGGAACCAGGCATCTATGTGGAGCCCCAGCAGTAACACCTGCACTAGCTCCACACCAATGAGTGAATGAAAGAATGAATGAATAAAGTAACTCTTTTCCCCCCTTCAAGATCCCACACCCATATCCTCTCGCCTGGGAAGACCATCCAACCCCTAAGTAAGCCCAAGATACTTCCTGCAGTGAGCTATCCGGGACTGCTTTGCCTCTTCCAGGGATGGGACAATGGGACAGGTGCCCCCACCATGGGAGGCAGTAAGCTCCTGGACCAGGGTCAGCCCCAAGCAGGAAGGTTCAGCCCTTATTCAAATGTTCCCAGAACTTTCTCCCCTTGGGCCTCCCCCTATACTCATACCACCAAGGGCTAAGAGGTCTCCAACAGGGCACCCAAAGATTGTAGCAGAGTAAAACACTCACTCAAACACTTAAAGAAATAAACCATCTCAGGTATAGAAACCCAGCCTGGACCGTCAGGTAGTGACTTCCCCTCTGAGCCTCCACTTCGGCATCTGGAAATAGGACATCAGATCCCACCCAGATTGGGATGCCCTGAATCTATAGGGCTTTGGAAAATGTTGTCAAACTCTCAGGCCTAGGCCCTATCTAGGTAGCCCAAGAGCAAGGTTAGGAAAGTTACATCTCTGGGTCCCACAGCGCCAGCCACTGAGCCCCTGGGAAGAGGCCCTGAGAGGGCAGAGGGAGCTCAGGCAGAACCAGAACAAAGCCCAGCGGATGGGTAGTAGGAGGATCAAGGCAGCCGGGTGGAAACAGTCAGGCCTGGGGCAGGGAGACAGGCAGCGGCCTGGTTCAGAGCCCCCTGACCTCAAGGGAGGCCCCAAACCTTCTGTCTCAATTTCACCAGCTGCGGAACTGGGACAGGTATGCCCCCCTAGGTAAGTAAACAATAAGTTCTTCCTGTTATCCCACCTAAAGAGTACATGCTTTGCCCAACCCCTTGGCCCAAATCAGCTTCTCCCCTGGGGTTCTGGCCTCCAGTCCGGATTTGATCACAGCCCTCCCCTGTTCACACAACCTCCATGGCTCCCTACTGCCCTTAGTTTAACATTTCAGGCCCATCAAACTCTTGACTTTTCCCATACCTGGGTGGTCTTATCTTACAACACATATGCCCAATCTGCCACTAAGCATTTGTCAGGGCCACACTCTGGAATGCCCTTGGCCCTTTTCTGATGGCCAAACTCTTCATGTTTCAAGGCCCACCTCTCCTGGCTTCCTCCAGGTAGTCCTCTCTGACCTCCAGCAATGGGAGGCCCTTGCTCTTTCTTCTCTGGAATCCCCAGATCACACAGGTTTAGGATCTCAACTGTGTCTTCTTTTAAACTGGGGTTTCTGTGAGAGCTGGGCTTGAAGCTGGGGTCTCTCTGGGAGGCCGGCAAAAAACTCACCCAGGATGAGTCCCACTGGGACTCTGGTAAATCAATCCCAGGCCTAGAATGGGAGAGTGACTTCTTACTAAATCACACAGCTCACACAGCCCAAAGCTGCCAAAAAACCTGCCAGCTCAAACAACACCCCCTCTTAATGCTCCCTGACCCCACCCTCAGGAATCCCCCAAGACCCCAAAACTTCCTGAGCCCCCTCCCTTATTATCCCCAAAGACAGGGTCAGAGAGCAGGCAGTTTTTCCAGCAGCAAGAATGAGGCCAAAGTCTGGTGGCCCAGTTAGCACTGCAGGAGGGAGCAAGCCAGCTCTCAGGCACATGGCTATCCCAGGCAAGCCCTGACCTGGGACCAAACTCCAGCCTTTGGTGCCCGGGGCTCTACTCAGCGGCCTCAACTAACAAGCTCTCCATCACCTGATTCCAACTCAGCCACACCCTTGTCACCCAACAGTTCCCCTTGCTAAGCCCCAACTGAGGCCTGCACTCAATGTGTAGCCCCAACGCAGGCACTTGACCCCTCTGGGCCTGTTTCGTGCATCTGGGAAATACGGCTGTCTATACTGGCTCTGCAGAGACTATGTATGTTCCTGGGGAGACAGAGTAGAGGCATGTCAATAAAGGGACAGGATGCTCCCCAAGTAGTGATGAGAAAAGAACTTCTGGACTGGACACCCCCTCTTCCAGAGGACTTTCACCTCCAACACCCAACCAGACAAGCTACAATGACACACCTTGCTGGAGAGGACTCCAACTTGGGACAGCTCAGGGCTCCTTCTTGGAAACATTTCACTCCCATATTGCCTCCGAGACAACCCAAAGTTTAAGGGATTTTCCAAGAGCCCCAGATCTGCACCCACCCCTGGGGGAGGGTGCAGTTCAGTCAATTCCGGTGGCCCTGCCGGCCCTCCAGTGGCGGTTTCCGGTGACCCAAGGCCCGGGGTTGGGGGAGCTGTTCCCCTCTGATGGGCAGGCCCAGCTCCCCCCCCACAGCAGGGCCCCTGAAGCGAAGGAGGTTGCTGTGTGCCACCCAGCCTCCTTCCAGCTGCCGCTTTGGTAGCCCGAGCGACTTTGGAAGTGATATTTGACCCCAAGGGCGCGCCGTATCGATCCGCGCGGCCGCAGACAATGGCCCCTGGACGCTGCGAGCTCCGCAGTCCAAGTTCCACGTTTGATTCCCGTAGGGGATCCCGCGGGCCGTGATCTCCGAGAACGGCATCCTGGGGTTAGGGTCTCACCCCTGACAGCACCCCTAACCCTTCCCCTCACGAAGATGACCCCTCCCCAGAGAAAAGGGCGGAAGGAGGAGGAAGTCGCTGAGGTGAAATCCGCAAGGGACCATCTGATGAGAGAAACCTGCATCGATGCAGCGCCGACTGTATACACAATCCAAAGAACAGAATAGAATGGGGAGTGGGTGCTGTGCCCCCACCTCAGAACGGGAGTGGAGGCCAGAGAAGGTCAGCACCAGGCCCAAGGTGACCGAGCGGGTCAGAGGCCCGCCCCAGCCCAGGGCGGGGTGCACGACGGCGGTGCGCTGATAGGGGGCTCACCGGCAGGTGTAGCTGAGGTTGCGGCGGATGCTCCGCTTGAAAAAGCTCTTGCAGCCCTCGCAGGTGAAGACACCGTAATGCTTGCCGCTCGACTTGTCTCCGCACACCACGCAGTCCACCTGCAGCCCCGGCCGCTCCTCGTCGCCTGGCTCGGCGTCGCTGGCTGCACCGGGGGGCGAGGCCGAGTCGTCCTCGGCCGCGCGCGGGTAGCCGCTCGCCTTGTCCACGCCGTTAGTGTCGCCGCTGGGGCCGCCCCAGCCGCCGGTCACCATGGCCATAGCCCCAGGGCAGCAGGGCCGGGGCGCCCCCTCTGAGCTCTTCCCTCCGCGCACCCCTCTCGGCCCGGGGGACCCTACCCGGTGCACATCCGGCCCCGGCGCAAGGGGGGTACCGGCTGCACCCCCAAAAAAAGTTTTGCAGCAACTTCCTGCGGCCGGTCCGCGCACCCGGGCGGAACTGGTCGGGCCGGTTCCAGGCCAACTTTCCCACGCGTGCGCGGGGCCAGGCCCGAGACCGGGAGGGGCGAGCTAGAGGCGCGGGCCAGGGACCCAGAGGAGTTGCGCCCCGCCACTCTGGTGTCCTGGCGGGGGCGCGCGGGCCATGGCCCGACCCAGGCTGCGCAAGGGGCGCCCTCTGGCCTGGCCGCTGCTCGGCCCGGGGCTGCAGCCAACTTAGCGGGCCGCCATCCGAGCTAGGGAGGCAGGGGTGAAAGTTTGGCCGCAAGTTGCGCGGCCGCCCGTGGCGGGGGG